GCCGACTCTGTGCTGGGACCAGCCAAAATCTCTCTGTATTGTCCCAATGTTAGTGTGCGTGTGGCTCAAGCTCTCACTGGGGTGACTTTCTGCCAAGAGTATCCAGAGAGGCACAATAAAGAAATCTTCTCGATTTCAGGCCCAACTGTCTTAAGCAACAGGGAGATGTGAACACAGGGGCAGGGAAATCGTGGTGAAGGGGAAATGTTTTCTTCAGCACCACATTTCAGCCAGAGCACAGGAGAGCCTGGGAGGGACCTGAAATAACCCAACACCCCCCCCCCCCCCCTTCTTTTTGGGCGGGGGAAGTGCTGATAAAGCTCCAAAACTAAGAGACTAGCCCTCCTGATGGCCGCTGATTACGGGAACTCGCGGGCCGCTCCCCTCGGCCATGAAGTCAGTGCCAGGCTCCCCCAGGGCCTCCTGAAAGCACAGCCAGGGAAACTCGGGTGTGAAGCAAGAGCAGGTCTCTTATCAGGGATGTTGTTTGTGGTTTTGTTGTTGGAAAATGCCCATGGCTTGAGCAAGAACAAACTGTGTAGACACAGGGATTACAAAATTGGGGTGTGTGTATCTGGAGGGGCGGGGGGGGGGCGGGGGGGCTCGGGGAAGCCAGGAGGGCATAAAAGCACAGGCTTGGCCCCCCACGCACTGCCCATCACACACAGGCCAGGCAGAGATGAGGTGAGTCTACCCTCGTGCCTCTCTCCTTCCTCCTGATCTCCTCTGACCTTGCCTCCGTAATTTCTCTACATTACGCCCAGGGAAAGGAGAAACCTGTAGGACAGACGCGTGGGCAAATGGGCAGAGCATCAAAGGGTTAAGTCAGTTAAGTCAGGTGTCAGGTGCCTTCCATGTACTTGGTGGTGGAAGATACCATCTCTGGAAGGCAGTGAGTTCCCAAAATATAGGGTCAACTCTAATTGTTTTCAATTTTATGTTTCAAAACTGTATGGAAAATTCCCAAAGTACAGAGACTCGCACAAGGAGCCCTCCCACTCCCATCTCAGTCCTGTTCTGAGTATCTGTGTCCCAGGAGGTGGGCTTGGTCTGGACGTCGGCTTCTGCTAGTTGTTCCCTGGTGTTTCCATACTCCCAGGAGTACAGAACTTGCTGGAATCGGGCCGGCTAGGAAGCTGTAGATCAGGAACGTGGTGGGTGGACGGAATAGTTTCTGGTTCTTGCAGGTCATTAGCTCTAGTTTCTTTACAATGGCCTGATGTGAGCAGTGTGTGAGTGTGAGTGTGTGTATGCGCATGTATGCATATGCATTTGTCCAAGAATGTGTGTGTGTGTGCATGCATGTGTGTGGTATGCAGCCGTGTGTTCCTTCCTGTCTCTTCTCTGCAGTGCCCTGGGAGTTGTCATCGCCTTCCTGCTCTGGGGGCAACTGTTTGCTCTGGACGTGGGCAACGAGGTCACAGATGCTGCAGGTGGGTCAAAGCTGTACAGGCCTCCCCTAAGGTCCCCCCAGGAGAGCCACACCCACTTCTCATCTTGCCCCGTGGGAGTGCTTGGCCTCTGCTGAGCAGAGGGAGGCTAGGTGCACAAGGCCTTCCTCATGCCTCACTTCTGCTGGTCAGTGGTGTAATTCCCAAAGGAGAACCCTTGTCACCCTGCTTCTTCCCCCTTGCAGATGACAGCTGCCCGAAGCCCCCGTCAATTGCAAATGGCTACGTGGAGCACCAGGTGCGCTACCGGTGCCAGAAGTACTACCGGCTGCGCAGTGGAGAAGGTGAGCTGCCCTGCCCGCATCGCTCTCTGCTCTCCTTGGAGCCAGGGGACTCAGAGTCAGTCTCATCACCAGGACCTTGTCTCTTTGAGCAAACTAACATTTCTCTGCTTCAAGTCCTGCCTCTGATTAATGTCACATCTCTGAGACAGGCTAAAGGAATGCGGTGGGAGGAGCAAGGACTGGGCGCAGCACGGAGCCCTCACTGTTCTCCGAGCCTGCACGGAGGTCACTGTCATTCTTGTGTTGCTCCTGAGGGATGGTGGGCAGCCCCCACATCAGGATGAGACCCATCCGCCCTGCCCACCGCTGGCCCCTGGCACCAGCCTTCAGTGCTCCTGTGCCACATACTATGGGTCTCCGGGTCCGACTCTCCCCTTCCATTTCAGGAGTGTACACCCTAGACAGCGAGAAGCGCTGGGTCAGCGAGACCCTTGGAGAGAAGCTCCCCGAGTGTGAAGCAGGTAAGCGGGCGGGCAGCGTGCGCGCAAGGGAGGGCATGGGGGCCAGGCTGCTCGGACACCGGCTCCAGACACACCTTCTTGGTGTCTTCTGAGCATGCCAGAGCCAGGTGAGGTCCAGGGAAAGCTCGAGTGTCTGAGCAGATGTGAGCAGTGACTGTGAGGCATTGAGGGAGCCCACCAAGATCTTGCTCGTTTGGGGGTGCGCATTCCCTGAGGCTTGGGCTCAGGAGTGTAGACAGTTGCCTGTAAGGCTCAGCGGGCTGCTTGCACAGGGGACCAGCCTGACCCCATAGGAGAGAACCTGCCCAGCAGGCCGGGGCTGGTGAGAGTGGCTGCCTGCTGCCCTCTCTGCTTGGAGTGGGAGGACCCTGGCTCCTGTCCGCTTCTGTGGTGGAGAACAGCTAGCCCGTTTCCAGGCACTGTGATATCTGTGAAGCTGAATCTTAAGACAAGGCTGCCACAGAGCCCAGCCTCCAGCTGATATCCAGCGAGAGTGAATGCAACAGCCCTCATCCTTCCAGCACATTCCAGGAACTGGGGTTAGGCTTTGGGGGCATGGACCGTTTGGAGGCTTACGGGGGCTAGCAGTCAGCATCTGGAAACCTGGCCCGCCTGTTTCTTTCATATGGCGAGAGCTGGCACGAGGGAAGAGCTGGCCACTGGAGTCATGAGCAAAGGTAGAGTGGCTGGCAGCCGTGGGCTGGGGTTCATGGTCCTGCTCTCCTCCGCAGTATGTGGAAAGCCAGAGAATCCCGTGACACAGGTGCAGCGGATCCTGGGCGGCTCAGTGGACGCCAAGGGCAGCTTTCCCTGGCAGGCCAAGATGATCTCACACCACAACCTCACCTCGGGGGCCACGCTGATCCATGAGCAGTGGCTGCTGACCACAGCCAAGAATCTCCTCCTGGGCCACCCCAATGGGACGGCAGCGGAAGACATTGCACCCACGCTGAGACTCTATCTGGGCCGGAAGCAGCAAGTACAGGTGGAGAAAGTGGTTTTCCACCCTGACCCCGCCAATGTGGACATCGGGCTCATCAAACTCAAAGAGAAGGTGCCCGTCAATGAGAGAGTGATGCCCATTTGCCTCCCTTCTCATGACTACGCCCAAGTGGGGCGCGTGGGCTATGTGTCTGGCTGGGGGCGGAATGCCAACTTCAGGTTTACGGAGCTGCTCAAGTACGTCATGCTGCCCGTGGCAGACCAGAAGGACTGTGTTGAGCACTACGAGGGTAGCACTGAGCCTGCCAAGAAGGCTTCCAAGAGCCCTGTTGGGGTCCAGCCCACGCTGAACGAGCACACCTTCTGTGCTGGCATGTCCCGGTACCAGGAAGACACCTGCTATGGTGACGCAGGCAGCGCCTTCGCCGTCCATGACCCGGAGGAAAATACATGGTACGCGGCTGGCATCCTGAGCTTTGATAAGAGCTGTCAGGTGGCCGAATACGGGGTGTATGTGAAGGTGACCTCCATCCTGGACTGGGTCCGGGAAACCATGGCCAAGGGCTAGGGCAAGGCTGGCTGTGCACCCGGACTGGCAGCTACTTCATGCCAGGAGGGCACCCAAGGCGGGAGTGAGGGTCGACATATGCAGATGCTGGCAGCTCCTGCCCTGTCTGGGGGCTGAGTGCACGCACCACATAGTCCCCCAAATATCATTGGAAGCGAGCACTAAGCACAAAGCTAGGAGTCCCACCAGATGTGACCCTCCAAACCGAAACAATGAGAACAATCATAATAAAGCGCTTTCTTTGGACTCATTTTGTCTCGGATCTTTTCTATCCTCACACTTGGTTTGACTGAGCAACCAAGCAATGCCCTGGGTGTGTGCCTAGGAACTCCTGAGCCAACCGGAGCCCCCTGTGGGGCTTGCACTCAGCACAGGGGAATGCCCAGCATGGTTCTGCCATGCCTAGTTTTAGGCACAAAGAAACTCCCAAAAATGAGGTGCCCTGTTACAGCCTGGTGGGATGAAGCGGCTTCACAGACAGCACAGACAACACATGGACACAAACCAAGCAAGACAGTGAAAAGGGCGATCACACTGTGGCTGTCATGAACTTGCCAAGAGCCTTAATTGTTATGGCCATCAGCCTCTGCCTCTCCTCTGGGAGCTTCTCCCACCAGTCTCTGCCTCTGCCCCCGGGGTTTGTCCCATCAGCCTCTGCCCCCGGGGCTTGTCCCATCAGTCTCTGCCCCCGGGGCTTGTCCCATCAGCCTCTGCCTCTTCCTGGGGCTTCTTCCATCAGCCTCTGCCTCTGCCCTGGGGGCTTTTCCCATCAAACTCTGGCCTCTCCCTGAGGGCTTCTGCAGGCCCATCACAGCCCCTGCCCTCGCATTCTGGGGTGCTCAGAGAAGCTCGACCACCTGCTGCCTTCCATGCCACAGATCAGGGCCTTCCTCCTCAGGGTTCTTAGAGGGTAAAAACCTAGTAAATGCAATAAATCAGAACTTGATTTTAAGTCTGTGCCATAAGGATCTCAAGATAAAACACACTTGCCTGCCCACTGCTGAGAACTGCTTATGTCAGCAGAAATGGGAGAATAAGAACTGGAGGTGAGGTGAATGAGGGAAAGGCGGGGCATGCAGGAGTGTGGGGCACTGGGGTAGATGAGAGGCGTTCTTGCTCCCATAACCATCAATAGTTCTGGGGCCAGACAGATGATACAGTGGGTAAGACTTCTTTCTTGCACATGGCTGATCCGGGCTCAATCCCTGGCATCCCTTATGGTCCTCTGAGCCCACCAGGAGTGAGCCCTGAGCAACAGCAGGTGTGGCCCCCAAACAATACAAACAACAACAACAAGAATCAACTTTCCTTTTTATTTGTGTATCAGATAACCTTGCTGCGGAGGACTCTGTGTCTTAGGGCCTACAGACAAGCAAACAGAGAAGTCCAAACAGAGACTGACCTGCTACCCAAGGCCTGCACCGGGAGCGCTGCAGTGTGGGCTCCCAGCCAGCTGGCCCAGCCTTCCACTGTGGGCCTGTTTCCCATGCCAGTCCACTTCTCCCTCGAGGGGGCACTGGGCACGTTTCCACAGGCTGCCAGCGCCCAGGCCGGCTGCATTCAGAGTGGCTTCCACAGGCACCTTCCCATCAACTCTGCCATCAGTGACTGTGCTAAATGTCTTGATAGAGAAGATCATACTTGGGGATATTCTTGGGATCGATTGGACTCTGGACAATAAGTTTCCCTCTCATTGCTCCTCGGTAAATTACTTCTATCAAATCTATGAAATCTTGTTTGGTTTTGAAACTTCCCACAAACTTGGTGTGATCCGGAGACCTGAGGAGGACACACAGAAGAGAAACCACCCTTCTCAGTACGTGTCCTGCTGCTGGAAACGGCCGACTCTGCCACATGGACAGCAGCTGTTTTCATCAGTGAGGCTTTCGACACAAAATCTGATGCTGGCTTTTCTGCTGTGATTACAGGGCCCATGGCATATCTGACAATAACCAGGGCTAAGCTTTAAAAAAAAAGGAATGGAAGCAGCTTCTGCTTCAAAGACAATTTTTGTGCCTTTTCCTGCCATTGCCGAGTACAATTCCCTGGGAGCTGGGGGCTGTGCACAGTCTACATGTCTCTGAGTTCTCCTCACCTCTACACTTCTGGGTTTGTTTTATGGGTCACAGCTGGTGGTGCTCAGGGATCACTTCTGTTGGGGCCTGGGGGACCCTTATGGGGTTCCAAGTATCAAATTTGAGCCAGCTGTCAAGACAAGCTCCCTATCCACTGTACTATTGCTTCAACTTTTGAGTGGTAAATTTTACTATTTCAAACATGTTTATAAAATTTTAAAAAAGTATGTATTTTTAATTGCCAGTGAGAAGTGACCACACTTTCAGTTTTAAGTGTGTGTATCATTTTTCACAAAAAATGGGAACCATCATAATTTTTTAATGTACTCTTTTCAAGTAACCTATACTATGCTTTTCTTCCAGTCATTAAATATGTACATCACAGTGACTTGGTATCTATTAATTTCCTGTCAATATCTATGTATTTTAGATATATTCTTTTCTAAATATCACAAGCATCATAAATGAAAGTGTAGCCGATTTTCCTGCTTTCATGATTGTTTACCTTCAGATAAGTTTTTGGAAATACAATAGCTGGATTAAAAAATTTTATACATTTTTAAGGTGTTACATTGTGTCATAAATTGTTCCCTAAAACAACTGCATCTAATTAACAGTAAAACCAACTCTAAGCGAGGAAAACAAGTAACTTGAAAATCACTTAAAAAAAACTCCAACACTTGAAACATATTTAGGGGCCAGAGAGATAGTATAGCAGGTAGGGCACTTGCTTTGCACATGTTCAATTCCCAGAGTCCCATATGGTTCCCTGAGCACCGTAAAGCCAGTAGTAATCACTGAGCACTGCACGGTGTGGCCCCAAGCCCAAAAACGAACAAAGAAAAACAATAACAAAAAAGGAAAATCCTGGGAAATCTTTTCAAAGTTGCTCTGTATTTTTTGAACTGAAGGATGGTTAGAGCATTACAAATTTTAACTCTCTTTCACACTTAAATAGGAAATAAAACATTCCCCGCTAAACCCAAAACCCTCATTTTCTAGCCAAATTTCATATAAAAAATTAGAGAGGGTGGCAAGAGACAGCTCAAGGGCCTCGACCCCATGCTTTACATGGGGGAAACCCAGGTTCAGTTCTCAGCAGGGTGTGGCCACCAAACATACACAGAAAGAGACGGCATCAAACAACAGACACCAAAATACAGTAACAATGAAGATATCATCCCATGCCAATAATAAAAAGTTAATGAAAAGTGAACTCAAAGCTTAAGGAGCAGTAACTTCATTCTAACTTACCCATAATCGACTTTCATGTGCTGCCCGTTGAAGAAGAACACCGTGGAGGGGATATAACTGATGTCAAAGTAGTGTGTGTAAACTGGAGTTCGGTCCACGTCCACCAGGTAGACAGCGGCCATTTTACTCAGGTCAGCAGCGGTCTTTGCGAGCTGCAAAGGGAGACAGAAGCAGCTGACAATGGAGGGAGGGTGGACATGTCTTCCGTGAAACAGAATTCAGAACTTTGCTTGAAAACACTTCTGGGTCCAGATCCTAGCACATTTGGGTCCCCATGTGGTCTTGGTTCAGAGTCTGATTCGCTGTTAGCAGGTGTATGTGTGGCCTGGACAACTGTATCAATTCATTTCTCCCTGTGTTTTGTTTTTCTTTTGGGGTTGCACCCTTTGATGCTCGGGAATCACTCCTGGTGGTGCTCAGTGTACCAAATAGGATGCTGGGGATCAACCCCAGTTGGCCGTGTGCAAGGCAAGTGCCTTCCCTGCTGTACTAAAATCACTCCGACTCTGATTTTTTTTGCTATTTTGGACTAGAGAAATCTTTGGGGTTGGGATGTGACTCGGTGCTTGAGTATAGGCCTTGTACACAAGTCTAGGTCACAGAGCACAAACCAAACCAAGCCAGTTTCAATCAAAAAAGCTGTATGGGTCCATAAAATCCAAGTGCATTTAAGCAAAAACCAAAAGTCAGAAATAATTAATACAGAAATGGAAATTTCCTCAACTCTCTTTTCTTGCAGTCCTCTCCAAAATAATTTTGTTAATAATAGCAGAGCAAACATTCCTATGGGCACGCACAATTCTAGTTCTTATTTCGCAGACAGGAAAACCACGGCCAGGGAAGGTGATCTCCCTTAATGAGGCAGCCAGCAAACAGTAAGGCCAGATACCAACCCCGGCAGCCAGGCTGTCTCTTGACCTCTCCCCTACAGCTGAGGGGCACAGAGCTCTCACCTTCCACCCACCCCAGGTTAACGCATCAAGCACCATTTTTTTAATCACAATAAATATAAGTACTCATATTTTGATCCACATAGTGAGTGCTTGTGGACTTAGTCTCTCTCCATTATTATTATTATTATTATTACTTTTGGTTTGGGGGCCACACCTGGCAGTGCTCACAGGTTACTCCTGGCTCTGTACTCAGGGATCACTCCTGGTGGGCTCAGGTGCCGAGGAATGAACTGGGGTTGGCTGCATGCAAGGCAAGTGCCTTACTCATTGTACTATCTTTCCGGCCCCTAGTTTCTCTCTGTTAAAAACAGGCCAGAATCTGTCCCATACTCCCTGCCACATGACTCAGAGTGGGAAGATGCCCTGGGAAGTTAGAGGCAGCCTCCAGGCCAAGTGTCATTAACAGAAGTCTATAACCATCCCTGTAGTCCATACCCCAGCTCTGCAACTCGTGGCTGAGTGTGTAGGGATCGCCTGCCTGACTCACACTCATCTCCCTGCTCAGCAAGAGTTGCTCTCATTATCTCGCTGACGGGAACTTCAGATGATGTTTGGAGGGCTGGCGAGATGTTCAAAGGGCTGAAGCGCAGGACCTGCACATGGGAGACCTGGATCGATCCCTGCCGGTTCCCTTTCATACTCTTTGTACATGTTTAAGAATATAGAGATATTTAGGAAAAACTAGATTTAAAAAAAAGTTACTTACAATATCATCCAGTTGCAGACAGACAGGATCCTCATCTCTCCCAAACCTGAGCACCAACACCTTCTCCGCAGTGCATTTTATTGCCTGGTCAACTTCCTTTTTGCTAGTCAGTTTGGGCAAAAGGAAGCTCATCTTGAAGTAAAGCCTTGCTGTCCTGAAATAAAGTCCCATGTTTCGAGACTGATTATATGAATCTGAATTAAAAAAATATCAAAGTACATATTTATATAGTTTACAAAGAGGCAACAGGAAAAAAATATACTGAGGCCAAAAAGACAGCTCAGCGGGCTGAGTGCATGCTCCATCCAGGAGGCCCAGGCTTGACCCCTCGGAAGCAAGCACAGCACTGAGTATCCCAAAGCCCGCTGGGTGTGATTATCCCCCAAAAGATATACTATGAAAAATCTCTCTCAACTTGGTCTGAGTTCCTACCCCTTTCCTCAAACCATGTCCCGAGTTCCATTTGTTTCCCATGCTTCTTCCTGCATTTCTTATGTGCTCACAAGTAAATACAAATATTACTTTCTGTGTTTTCTCCCTCTTTTACCCAAAAGATAGCCTAGAGTCAGTCAGGGTCCCTGCAGGCTACAGATTATACCCTTGGAAGAGACTGTCATCACAGAGGGTGTAGGAGAACCCCACGGCCAAGGGCATCGTGGAGCACACAGTGAGGGTGCAAGGGAAGTGTTGTACCACCAAGCCACATTCCCCACCAACAGGCCAACTTCAGAGACTAATGCTGATTGCTAAAGGGGGGAAATCCTGGATTCAATCTCTGGCATGAGAGAAGGAAGTAAACACACATATTTCAGTCCTTACCACCCCAGTCTCTGGTAAACCTAGCCAATCAACCAAGAACAAAAACAAACAAAATCATCCTTCACTTCCGTATGTTACTAATCAAGACAAGGGCGTGAGGGGAGAAGGAGGAGGGAGAAAACGTCTATGGCACAGGCTGCCAACTCAAAAGCAGTACAAACAGACCACGAATATATCTGGGAAGTTGAGTAAGTCAAGGAAAGCAAATGAACAGATATATTTAAAAATCCACTAGGCTGACAGAAGTTAAACAATGACAACAGAGTCAACGATGATGACAGAGGCATTCAGAGTCTCTGCTGGAAGATGGAAAAGCAAAGCTTGTTGAGAAAGAAAATGGAAACAGGGGCTGGAGCAATAGCACTGCAGGTAGGGCGTTTGCCTTACACCGGCTGACCCGGGTTCGAGTCCCAGCATTCCATATGGTCCCCTGAGCACCGCCAGGAGTGATTCCTGAGTGCATTAGCCAGGAGTAACCCCTGTGCATCTCCAGGTGTGACCCCCCCCCAAAAAAAAAAAGAAAAAAAAAGAAAATGGAAATATCCTCTGAGCAATGTATTCAGGGATGAGCGCTGATTCTTAGTAACGAGGTAGGAGAGGGCAGTGAGGCAGAGGAAATCCATCAGTTACAACAGCGAGGAAGTAGCAGCTGAGAGCATGGAATTGGTGACCTCAAGGACAGCATCTGTTACAGGGCACCCGAAATTGAACATTCCATTTCCCGGACATTTATCTCATCCGGGGGAAAAAATGTTGCAAAAGCCGCCAAATGTGAGTGCAATTCACACATACGTATGTGCGAGGACAAAGAAATAACCGGAAGGAAAACACCGCAGAGCCCTGTCGGGAGCCTTCCGTGCAGACTGTGGCAGGAGAGGAGGCTGGGGTGTGCGTGCAGCCTGGTGAGGGACGTTTCAGGAAACCATGTCATCAACAAGTCGCCTAACCACCACGCCCGGAGCTGCTCGGGAGTACGAAAACCAACTCCTCTGAGACGCAAATACTGAGCTCGTTGGAGATGGAGAAACGGAGGCACCAACCACCCCACGGTGGGCACTTCACTGCTCCTCTGTCGGTTCTCTGCCGCGAAGACGGCCCCGGAAAGCCCGCGCGGGGTCAGGGCTGACTCGGGGCGCCGCGTGACGGGTGTCGGGGTCCTGATCCCCCCGCGCCCCATCACCGCCCGGGCTCCTCTCGGGGGTCCCTCCCTCGCCCCCACCTCACCCAAGTCACCCGCAAAGAGCACCCGCGTGGTCTCGTCTCTCTTCAGGGCCGGGCGTCCCGGGGAGCTCTCTCCGCCCGGACGGGCGCGTCCTCCCGCTCCCCGAGCCATCCCCCTTGTACCCGACCGACGGAGACGGGAGCCCCAGGGGGCTCTCCCGGGGCCAGCGCTGCGGAAGGCGACACCTACTGGGTCTGTCCCTGCTCAGAGCCGTCGGCGCCCCTCACCCGCTCTCGGCCGTGCCTTCCCTCGACCCAATCCTGCAGGCTCCGGATTCCCAGGGACCCCGCAGGCGGTCGCCTAGCAACACTCACTAACGGGGCCGGAAGCGGAAAGAAAAGAGGCACAGGCTCAGTAGGTGACCGGACGGGCTTCGCCCCGCGACAGCCAATAGAAAGAAGAGCCTCTAGTCATCTTTCGGCTCTGACCGGAAGCCGTAGAGCCACTTCCGCCCTTATTAAACATGGCGGATCCCCAGCCCCGTTTCCCCCCAATTTCTCAGGGTGGAGGCGGGGTCTCGTTTCTGGCCGAAGCGTGATTGGCTTCAAGGAGACGCGGAAGGATCTGTGATAGCCTATTAGAGACTGGTCGCGTTCTGTCGCACATTCGGACGCAGGAATTGACGTTTCCGGGCTGCTCTCGATGGTATTCTAGACGGATAGAGCGGGGCCGCACAAGGTATTATGGGACAATAATGGCGGCTTTCAAGGTGCGGGCTTGGCTCTCTAAGGCTGTCTGAGCAAGGAGCGGAGGCACCGGAGCCCCCGAGTCCGGGATCGAAGGCCCCGCGAGCTGGTCTCGGGGAGGTGAGTGTCTCTTTCCCCTTCCTGATCGGCTCTGCACCAGTCCGGGCAGCTCCCGGAGGTGGACATGGTCTCGTGTCAGGTTCGGGCCGGGCTTTGGAGAGTGCTGTTCCCGTTCCCGCCCCAAGTGCTAACTTGCCTTGCTCGCGTCGGGGACGGTACACCGGTCTTGGCAGCTCCGGCCTTTTTCCTTGCTCTGGTTCGATCCTGGCTGCCCAGCGCCACCTCTCTGAGGTCCAGGGATGCTATCCGGAGGTCAGCCTGCATCCTTATCCACGCCTCCACCTCGGCCACTCCAGAGAGACTCCGAGCTCCCTGACTTCCGCCTCTCTCAGTGCTTAGGGACCAAATGAACTCCTCGACCAGGATGCCAATGACAAGTGGGCGAGGATTTTGTTTCGTTCTCTGCTCTGTCCCTTTTTGCTTACAAAAGGCACTTAATAAATGCTCATTGAATGAGCAAAGCCAGCTTATTTCTTCAGTTTTGTATAAAAAAACTCTTATCACCTGTGACTTCATTGTCATTAATTCTTTTCCATAATCCAGCCTATAACTTCTTATTTTTTCTTAGCAGCAAGTTACGCCCTGTCAGATTCCTTGCCCTGTGCTCTGGTATCTTTCCTGCCTTTAGAAATGTTTGAATTCCTGTTCTCTTTCATTAGATTTAAGGGTAGTCATGAGTTTATTTACCGGATGCATTCTGGGTGCGTATTTTCCAAGAGCCACTGAGCAGAACCTGCATATCTCTACTCATTTCTGTTTAGATTTCCTCACCTGTGTTCACTCACCAGTATGTTCCTTCCCACTTTCCCATTTTTGTCTGAGGGCATTTCCCCAAAGGTAGCCCTGTTTCATATGATGTTTCCATTCTGTTTGGCAACACAAGTCTCTGCCTCTGTGCATGTTAATCCGAGCTGGGCTGAACATTCTGGATTCTGGTATTAATCCACCCCTTGATAGTTCCTGTACTTCATTGAATTCTTGGAATAAGGGAAATCACGCAAGCACTCAGGACTGGTGTATATCTGTAAGTGGATGGTGTGTGGTGGGAAGAGGGATTTGTTGGCAGTTGAGTGCCAAGAAAGTTTATAGTTCACCCAAATAGTTTCAGAATCGCCATTTCCAAAACTCGTGTTTCATATTGAACGTATGGTGTTATTAAAAAGATAACAAAACTTGCTGTGGTTTTTATTTTTTTTTAACCAACACAGCTGATCCTCCCCACACCACTCAATGTGTGAATCTCAGAGATGGTAGCCTTAGAATCCTCCATCTCCACTGTGCAGTCTCTGGTTTAAAGGGAGGGAGAGGTCAAAGAACTTGTGAAAGAATGGTGAGGACCCAGTGAATGTCTGGAGCATGGCAAAGAAATTGTTAAAGTTGTATTTGTGTGACTCAAAGAATACAGAGAGCTTCTGCTTTCATTTTCTTACTGGACAACTCCATGGGGGTAGATAAAGGCATTCCCATGTAACAGCTAAAGGCATTAGAATAAAGATAAAGTTATTTGCTTAAACTCATGCAGGTAGAAAATGCCCAGAGCCTGGGGATTTCTGATTTCAAACTAGTAGCGTTTCCCCAGGCCTCCCCTCAGAGGTGCTATCGTGTTCTGTGGTGATCCTGTGAGTAAGGTCTGCCCTGATTGAGTGATATCTTGGAAAGCAGTGTTTGGGAGTGTGTGAGCATGTGTTGGCATTTCATCAGATGATCTGTTGAGCTTGTCAGGACAGCTCTTGGTATCTGGTCTCGAGGAAGCTGAGTTCCTAACTATAACTTCAGTTTCCCTGGCCTCCCTAAGCATCCTGTCTGGCGTGTTTTCCTTCCAGACACTTCCCAGAGCGTGCCATGGAGAACTCGGTCGAGGATGCCTCGATCCACCGGCTGGAAGGCACCGACCTGGACTCGCAGGTCGGCGGGCTCATCTGCAAGACCAAGAGCGCGGCCAGCGAGCAGCACGTGTTCAAGGCCCCGGCTCCCCGACCCTCCTTGCTCGGACTCGACTTGCTGGCTTCCCTGAAGCGGAAGGAGCGCGAGGAGAAGGAAGATGGGGAGGACAAGAAGAAGTCCAAAGTCTCCTCCTACAAGGACTGGGAAGAGAGCAAAGATGAGCAGAAGGACCTGGAGGAAGAGAGCAGTGAGCAGGCTGGCCCAAGTGGTCGCACAGACAGGTAAAGGCCTTGGGTTTGAGGAGTTGGCACAGAAGGGAACTAGTGCAACATCCCAGCTGGCTCATTGGGCGGTCTGGCGCGTTTGGATGTTAATCGGCATTGCCTTCAGATGTTTGGGCTGTGTCCAAAGGTTACCACAGAGCAGGCGATGGCAGTTGGAAAAGCTGGGGGTGGTCGGCAAAGAGAAGCCGGTCAGGACATCGTGGGAAAGGCCGGTCTACTTGGTGGCCTGGCTGGAAGTGTGGGAGCCTGGATTTTCTCTCAGGGAGGGACCTGCACCCTCTTGTTTCAGGCATTACCGGTCGGCCCGCGTGGAGACGCCCTCCCATCCCGGCGGTGTGAGCGAAGAGTTCTGGGAACGCAATCGGCAGCGAGAGCGAGAACGGCGGGAACACGGGGTCTACGCCTCCTCCAAAGAGGAAAAGGAGCGGAAGAAGGGACGGTCGCGGGATCGGGACAGTGACCGCAAGCGAGATAGAGGTAAGTGCCCCGCCGCTGGCTCTGTGTGAACCAACACTTCTGCCTCTTCTGGGTTCTGGTGCCTCCTCCACCAGGGAGCCCTTTCCCTCATGTCACCCTGGGCGCTGAGAAAGGACTGTTACCTGCAGCTTAGCTGCTTCTTTTAAGTGTGTGCCCCTCGTTTTCTGGGGTGCTTGGATGAGAACCAGAGTTAACAGTCAAGTTGGTGAAAAAGGACAGTGGCGTGGGGCAAAGCAAGACAGAAACTCCAACCCTGGCTCTGCAGAGAAGTTACTCAAATCTTGTACTCTGTAGACTCATGAGTAGGAAACAGCTCTTTGCTCTAGACTTGTAACTGTTCTCTTTTGGAATCTTGCAAGAAAGTAACTTGTTACCATGAATTCGAATTCGAAACTTTCTAGCCAGTAACTAATTCCACCCCTTGAAAGCTTGGGGGCTCTGTGAGTTTCAGCAGTGGGGCAGTGCAGGCCCGGCTTCCCTCTAGGAGGAGGCTGAGGGGAAGTTCTCCCCCTCCCAGAATCTCCTAACCAGGTATCACTCCTACAGATGAACGGGACAGAAGTCGCCACAGCAGCAGATCGGAGCGGGAAAGCGGATCAGAGCGCAGCAGCCGGAGAAACGAGCCCGAGAGCCCGCGACATAGACCTAAAGGTAGACCAAGACGGTTGGTGGTGGTGTGTGGGGCCACCGGTGAGATTCCCCAAGTCCTGCTCAGTGGATTGCCCATGGGCAGAGCCCAGATTCCCGGGATCTGTGGTTGGAGCCCGTGAGGGTGCCCCAGGCCTATGCCACCTGCGGGGCAATGCACCTTTACTGGCTGGTTCTTCCCGTGCATGCGAGGAACAGGCAGTTGGGCGGCGGAGGAGGATGTTTTACAAAAGTAGTTAAGTAGTTATAGCTGTGAGAGCTATGACTGCAGAGACAAATGGGGTATTTCTTAAAAACTGGTTAAAGATCCAGATAAAAACTGGACCATTAAAATTCAGAGAAACAAAAATAAAATTCAGGAAACATCTTTTTCTTCTTTTTTTTTTTCTTTTTGGGTCACACCTGGTGATGCACATGGGTTATTCCTTGCTCTGCACTCAGGAATTACTCCTGGTGGTGCTCAGGGGACCATATGGATGCTGGGAATCGAACCCAGGTTGGCTGTGTGCAAAGCAAACGCCCTACCCGCTGTGCTATTGCTCCAACCCCAGAGACCATTTCTTTTTCCTTCTCTTCTTGAGTTGTGCCCGGTGTGCTGAGGGCCCCTCGTGGCTCCACGTTCCAGGAGACCAGGAATTATCAGGGATTCAGAGGGACTTGGCCCCCTGAGCTGTCTCTCTCGGCCTTAGTTAGCCGTTGAAGCTGTCTGAACCCTGATTCACCGTTACAAGGATCGCCCAGATGATGAACAGAGAAGTCTGGAGGATTGACTTGGGGTCGGTAGTCACTGTTCATGCACTGTCTCCCTGGGTTCCAGATGCCGCCACCCCGTCGCGGTCTGCATGGGAGGAGGAGGACAGCGGCTACGGCTCGTCTCGGCGCTCACAGTGGGAGTCACCCTCCCCGACGCCTTCCTCCCGGGACTCGGAGCGGAGCCACCGGCCGTCCAGTCGAGACCGAGACAGGTGCTCTCCTGGGTGGGGCACCCCGATTCTCCGGGTGGGGGGGCAGAGGGTGGCTGGGATGGGTGGTGGCGGGGTTCAGGGTTCCTGCTGGGCCACCGTGTCACAGTGCCAGGTCTCCCGTGTGCCAGGTCTGTGCGGGGCAAGTACTCCGACGACACTCCTCTGCCCACCCCGTCCTACAAGTACAACGAATGGGCCGACGACCGGCGGCACCTGGGCTCCACCCCGCGGCTGTCCAGGGGTCGGGGTAAGGTGGCACGCCCTGGGGAGGCCAGACAGGGCACTGGCCTGTGCGTGGCCGCAGGGATAACTGTGGGCCTGGGCTCTGCAGGGCGACGTGAGGATGGCGAGGATGGGATCTCCTTTGACACTGAAGAGGAACGGCAGCAGTGGGAGGAGGACCAGAGGGTAAGACCCGGGTGGGGCTCGCCCTCCAGAGTTACGCAGGTGACCAGAAGTGGCAGAGCCTCGGGGCCACAAGCGACTTGCTAGCAGGACCGGGCAGTTGACAGTGGACAGTGTAAGGGAAGCTGAGTCCTGTTTGTCCCACAGCCCTGGAATCTCTATCTCTTTCCAGAGGTTTCCAGAGGGCTCAGCCTCCTGTGGGGGTGGGGGGGTGTGTCACACCTATACCTGCTGGTGCATGGGCGCCCCCTTGTGGCAGACCTAAGAAGTCCTCTGTCAAGTGGGGCCGCTGCAGTGGAGCCTTTCAGGCTACAGCTGTATCTGCCTGGGGTGGCCTGTGCTGGCGCCCATGCTGCTGCCTCATCACTAGGGGTGTGTGTGTGTGTGTGTGTGTGTGTGTGTGTGTGTGTGTGTGTGTGTATGTGTATGTGTGTGTGTGTGTGTGTGTATGTGTGTGTGCATGTGTATGTGTGTGTGTGTGTATGTGTGTGTGCATGTGTGTGTGTGTGTGTGTGCCTCATCACTAGGAGTATGTGTGTGTGTGTGTGTGCCTCATCACGAGGTGTGTGTGTGTGTGTGTGTGTGTGTGTGTGCCCCTGCACTGCTGTCCCCAGTTCTCACTGCTGTCTCGGTGCCACAGCAAGCTGACCGCGACTGGTACATGATGGATGAAGGATACGACGAGTTCCACAACCCCCTGGCCTACTCATCTGAGGACTACGTGAGGCGGCGCGAGCAGCACCTGCATAAGCAGAAGCAGAAGCGCATTTCCGCCCAGCGGAGACAGATCAATGAGGTGGGGGGAGCCCGTGGGAGCCACAGCCTATGCAGGGGGCGCCGGGGTGGGGCTGGCCAGAGCCCCGCCAGTAACTTCGGATCCCCTTTTAGTCCTTGGCTTTGGGCCTCAGCCAGCAGGCGCCTTGCCCCATCCTTTCCCTCTTCATCAGCCTGGAGCCTCTGGGCACCGAGGGCCGACTCGGTGTGTGGGTCTGTTGCATTTCTGGCTGCTGCGTGTGTCCATGTAGAAGGGGGGACTAGAGGATGGGGTGCTCTTGGGGGCTGCAGGCTCCAGGGGCCGCGGGCCTCTCCGTCAGAACTCAAGGGTGGTGTTCTGAGTGCGTGTGTCCTCGGTCCCTTCAGGATAACGAGCGCTGGGAGACCAACCGTATGCTCACCAGTGGGGTGGTCCACCGGCTGGAGGTGGACGAGGACTTTGAAGAGGACAGCGCCGCCAAGGTGCACCTCATGGTGCACAACCTGGTGCCCCCCTTCCTGGACGGCCGCATCGTCTTCACCAAGCAGGTGGGGCCTGAGGGCAGGGGAGGGGCCAGGGCCGTGTCCTGCCTGTTGGCCAGGTATTCAGCAGGACCTACTCGTACTCCCCTCCCCGCAGCCGGAGCCCGTGATTCCCGTCAAAGACGCCACTTCTGACCTGGCCATCATTGCACGCAAAGGCAGCCAGACAGTGCGCAAGCACCGGGAGCAGAAGGAGCGCAAGAAGGTGAGTCTCCTTACCTGGCGGGGCCCTCGGGGGGAGATTGGGCCCCACCGGCCCGGCCTGATGCCATGGGGTTGGAGACTGGCGCCTGGCTGAGGCTGGCGCATGGCTGAGACTGGCGCATGGCTGAGGCTGGCGCATGGCTGAGGCTGGCATGAGACTGAGGGCTGGCACTCCCGGGTGGGCCCTGTTGTTGCTGCTGGAAGCGGCTGCCAGGCCCATTGATCACAGGCCATAGCCGACTTGATTCTCTTTCTCAGGCTCAGCACAAACACTGGGAACTGGCTGGAACCAAACTGGGAGACATCATGGGCGTCAAGAAGGAGGAGGAGCCCGATAAGGCGCTGACAGAAGACGGGAAGGTGGACTACAGGTGGGAGCCTGCGAGCTCAGGCGCGGGCAGCAGTGGGCAGCAGAGCAGTCGCTTCCTTCTGAGGCTTCTGGGTACCCTGCCACTTCTGAACTCATCAGCAGTGAGCCCTGAGCACAGAGCTAGGAGTAAGCCCTCAGTACCGCTGGATTTGACCCCAAAACAAAACAAAAAACAGCCCAAGATAAGGACACAGCCCCAGAGACCAAGGTGTCCTGCCGAGAAGGGTGGGTCCAGCCCTGCTCTGGACTCCGGCCATGACGTCTTCCCCCCTTTGGCCACGTGCTGGGGCAGGCCAGGGTGTTCATCTGACAGACGGGCGGCTGCAGCTCTGTTCTGGGAGCGCTGCTGGGCCCGGGGTCTGAGTTCTGCTGAGCGGGGGGGCTTTGCCAACCGGTGACTGGCGAGCACGTGGGGGGATCCCACCATCCCAGATTTGGGGCCCAGGATAGACCCTGCCCCTCAGCTTCTCCTGGAGGGAGGAGGGAGGGCGGTGAGGCGGCCCGGGTGGGGCGAGGGTCCTGAGGCGGCTGTGTGTTCCCAGGACCGAGCAGAAGTTTGCGGATCACATGAAGAAGAAGAGCGAGGCCAGCAGCGAGTTTGCGAAAAAGAAGTCGATCCTGGAGCAGCGGCAGTACCTGCCCATCTTCGCCGTGCAGCAGGAGCTGCTCACCATCATCAGGTCCCGCCCCACGGGCCACGGTGCCGCCAGCCCGGGCAGGGGCCGCGTCACTGCCCCCCCGGGCCTGACTCACACCTCCGCTTCTCCTTCCCTCTCCCAGAGACAACAGCATCGTGATCGTCGTGGGGGAAACGGGCAGCGGGAAGACCACGCAGCTGACGCAGTACCTGCACGAAGACGGCTACACGGACTACGGGATGATCGGGTGCACGCAGCCACGGCGTGTGGCCGCCATGTCTGTGGCCAAGAGAGTCAGCGAGGAGATGGGGGGCAGCCTTGGCGAGGAGGTGAGGGGTCGCGGCGGCTGAGCCGTGGCAGGGGGGGATTGAGGGTGGGCATGTGACCCCCTCTGCTGGTCCAGGAGCGTCGGGCTGAGTGCTTGGGCCGCCTCTGCCCTCCAGGTGGGCTACGCCATCCGCTTCGAGGACTGCACGTCGGAGAACACCTTGATCAAGTACATGACGGACGGCATCCTGCTCCGCGAGTCACTGCGGGAGGCCGACCTGGACCACTACAGCGCCATCATCATGGACGAGGCCCACGAGCGCTCGCTCAACACTGATGTCCTCTTCGGGCTGCTCCGTGAGGTGCGGGGGGCGTGGGGGGCGGGGCTGTCCGGCCTGTCCGGCCTGTTGGTGCCCGCGGGGGCTCGCGTGGGAGGAGGGGACCGGTGTGGGACAGCCTCTGAGTGACCGCTCCTCAGGTGGTGGCCCGGCGCTCTGACCTGAAGCTCATCGTCACGTCGGCCACGATGGACGCAGACAAATTCGCGTCTTTCTTTGGCAACGTGCCCATCTTCCACATCCCCGGCCGCACCTTCCCTGTGGACATTCTCTTCAGCAAGGTGCGGCCCCCACAGCCCCTGAGTGCAGGGGGAGGCTGGGGAGGGTGGCGTGGGTGGGGTAGAGAGGCCTCGCCACCCCAGGGCTGGGGACAGGGGGAGATAGCATTACTGTGTCCGGGGGTGGCTGTGCGGGGCCCAGAGAGGGTGGCCGGGCCAGCCTCGGGTACAGGGCCCAGAGCGCTCCTGTGAGCCCTGGCGTCAGCGAGGTGTGGTGGGTGTGGCGGGCACCAGGCCTGCATGCTGACACATGCTGACTGTCCGGGGCCGCCCGCAGACCCCGCAGGAGGATTACGTGGAGGCGGCGGTGAAACAGTCCCTGCAGGTGCACCTGTCGGGGGCCCCCGGGGACATCCTGATCTTCATGCCGGGCCAGGAGGACATTGAGGTACGCGAGCTGGGGACGTGACAGGCCTTCTTGCTTCCCACCGGGTGGCCCTGGGATCTCACGGTACCTCTCTCCTCAGGTGACCTCTGACCAGATTGTGGAGCACCTGGAGGAGCTGGAGAATGCGCCTGCGCTGGCCGTGCTGCCCATATACTCGCAGCTGCCTTCCGATCTGCAGGCCAAGATCTTCCAGAAGGTTTGGGAAAGTGCGGCCTCGCCGTGGGGCCCCCCGCCCTCACCCCCGGTGCCCAGAGGAAGGGTGTTCCTTTTCGGGCTGCGGTGGGGTGCCCCTTCACCTGTGGCGTCTTCCTGACGGCCGCTCCCACCTCGCACCCCGTCTTGCAGGCCCCTGATGGTGTCCGCAAGTGCATCGTGGCCACCAACATCGCCGAGACGTCTCTGACTGTGGACGGCATCATGTTCGTCATCGACTCTGGTTATTGCAAGTTAAAGGTGTGGTGACGCAGCTGGGTGCCACCACGGCTCCAGGGGGGTCAGGACAGGCCACTACTCTGTCATTAGCCCTGCGGGGCAGGGGAGGGGTCAGGGATGTTCTTGGGCGTGGCCGCCATACCCCAATGCCTCTTTGCCACCCCCGCGTAGGTCTTCAACCCCAGGATCGGCATGGACGCGCTGCAGATCTACCCCATCAGCCAGGCCAACGCCAACCAGAGGTCGGGGCGCGCCGGCAGGACGGGCCCAGGTCAGTGTTTCAGGTAGGAGCCTGTGCCTGCCTTGTGGCGCGGCCTTCTGTGGGTGGGCCCGGCCCAGAGCCACTGCTCAGTGCTGGAGAAAGCCCTGGGGGCAACCTGGACGCTGCGTCCTACCCAGGCTGCTTAGGCCTCCGCTGCCTGTGCCAACCCCGTCGTCGGCCCCTTCTTTTCTGCATGCCTTCTTTTCTCCAGCTCATGCTTACAAGTGGGCCTCTGCTGGCCAAGTGTATCCCCAGGAGCAGTGTGGGAAGTAGGGATCCAAAGGAGAAAACCCAGCTCTGAGCCCAGGCCGCGGGCACTGGCTGGCGGGTGGGGGGAGGCGCGGGCAGGCCTGGCGCGGCCGGGCCGGGTTCCTGGTGATGGGGAATGCATGAGGCCTAGAGAGAGTGGCGGAGGCGGGAGGAGGAGAGCGGGTCTCCTGGCCGCGAGCCCCCCTGTCTGCCCCGCAGGCTCTACACCCAGAGCGCCTACAAGAACGAGCTGCTCACCACCACGGTGCCCGAGATCCAGCGCACCAACCTGGCCAACGTGGTGCTGCTGCTCAAGTCACTGGGCGTGCAGGACCTGCTGCAGTTCCACTTCATGGACCCGCCGCCCGAGGACAACATGCTCAATTCCATGTACCAGTTGTGGATCCTGGGTGCCCTGGACAATACAGGTGTGGCCCCCGCCCCCTGCCCTGGCCCCCGGCCCCCCTGCGCCCCTGCCCACTCAGAGTGTCGGGCCCGCTCCCCTCTCCCAGGTGGCCTGACGTCCACGGGGCGACTGATGGTGGAATTCCCGCTGGACCCGGCCCTGTCCAAGATGCTCATCGTCTCGTGCGACATGGGCTGTAGCTCCGAGATCCTGCTCATCGTGTCCATGCTCTCTGTCCCTGCCATCTTCTACAGGCCCAAGGTGGGCGGCCAGAAGCCTGGGGCTCAGAGGGCCGCGGTGGCGGCTTAGTTTATGACGCCAACGACCAGCTCAGCCCCTGGGGGCCATGTGTTCGGGGAAGTGACGAGACCCTCCGGCCGCCCCCAGGCTTCTCGCCAAGCTTCCTGTCTTCCCCCTTCCTAGGGCCGAGAGGAGGAGAGCGACCAAATCCGGGAGAAGTTCGCCGTGCCCGAGAGTGACCATCTGACCTACCTGAACGTCTACCTGCAGTGGAAAAACAACAATTATTCCACCATTTGGTGCAACGACCACTTCATCCATGCCAAGGCCATGCGGAAGGTCGGGGGTGCCAGGGGCAGCGGGTGGGACTGGGGTGTAATGTGGGCAGGGGGGCGGGCTGGTGTGTGTGTGGTTACGGAAGCAGGTGAGGGGTGTATGTGGACAGGAGGGCGGGCGTGGGTATGTGGGAAGCTGAGGCAGAGGGTCCCATCGGTGCCTGCTGTCCCGCCCCAGGTCAGGGAGGTGCGCGCGCAGCTGAAGGACATCATGGTGCAGCAGCGCATGAGCCTGGCCTCATGCGGCACCGACTGGGACATCGTTCGCAAGTGCATCTGCGCCGCCTACTTCCACCAGGCCGCCAAGCTCAAGGTGGGCCAGGCGGATCCGTGGTCTCCCCCCCCCACCCCACCCCCGTTGTGGCTCCTGATGTGTGCAGTGGACTGGTGGGGGGTCCTCCTGACTGACACGGCCTCCCGGGCTGTATCTGGTCTTCGCAGGGTATCGGGGAGTACGTGAACATCCGGACGGGGATGCCCTGCCACCTGCACCCCACCAGCTCCCTCTTCGGGATGGGCTATACCCCGGACTACATTGTGTATCACGAGCTGGTCATGACCACCAAGGTGAGCCTGGAGCTGCCGGTGTGGGTCTGAGGAAGAGTCACAGCCAGACGAGGCAGCAGCAGCGTTCACGGCCCATTGCAGTGGTCTTGGCTCCGCGGCAGACGCTCTGCGGCTCGGGGCCCGGGACTTGCAGCCCCTTCGGGGGCGGGGGCAGTGAGGGGGGGTGTTTTAGTGGTGGCGGTTCTGCGGGGTTGTGTTGGTGCCAGTGTCTGTCTGGGGTGTTTCAGTGGCGGTGGTTATGCGCGGGGGGTGTTTTGGTGGTGGCTGTGTGGCGTTTTAGTGGAGGCGGCTTTGCAGGGGTGTTTGGATGGTGGCTGCGTGCGCGTGTCTTGGTGGTGTTCCCTAGCCGGGGCTGTTCTCTCACATGAGAAGGACTTGGGGGCACTTGCCTGCTGGGGCTGCTCCTGCCATGCCGTGTCCTCCTCTGACTCCCCCTGTGTTCTTCCGTGGCAGGAGTACATGCAGTGCGTGACTGCCGTGGACGGAGAGTGGCTTGCGGAGCTGGGGCCCATGTTCTACAGCGTGAAGCAGGCGGGGAAGTCTCGGCAGGTAGGTGCCAGTGCTTTCCGGGCCTGCTCCCCTCACCCCTTCCTGCCTCTCGAGTGAGGGCTGCGCCCCAGCCTGGTGGCTCTCTCTGGTTTCTCCCCACCGGCTCCCGGGGCCGCTGTGCTTCTCAGAGACGACACGCGAGAAAGAACAGCACAGACGGTTGCAAAAGTGGGCAAAGGCCCTGGAGCCGCCACCCTCCCGTTCGTAAGGGCTCCGGGATCGCAGCAGCGTTTCTGCCCACTTCTGGGCCCTTTGTTGCCTCCTGTCCACGGTTGTGGAAAGCCATGGTGGTTACGTGTTTCTCCATCAAAGACCACCACTGGGACATGTTGGCAAACACTGAGGTGTTATTAGCAGGCATTAGCTTAGGTCACTCCTAAATACTTGAGTCTGCTTATGACATTTCGCCTGAACCTCAGCATCGCTGTGGCCTTGCAAGACAGTCCTTAATGGGGCCCAATCTCCCTCTTTTTCTTCCGAGGTCTCTTTTTCTGATGTGCTTGAGTTGGGTCGATGGTTGTGTCCGCGGAGAGGCCCTGTCCCCTCTCATTTAGCTTGGAAGGTGCTTCCTTGTGGTTCGGTTTAACTGGGCCTTGGCCCCGGGGTCTCTAGGTAGCTGGTGACTAATCCCAGGTGCGCTGGGATCCTGGCTGGGGCAGGGGTGTGGCGAGTGTGCTTCATCCGCCTGCACCCCGCCCCTCACGGGGTCACGCCTGGCTCCGACTGCAGACAGGGGCGGAGCTTTGGTTCCCTGAGCCTCGCTGAGTGATGGGCTTGGCTGCAGCAGCTCCCCAAGCCGGGAGCCAGCCCCGCCACTGCCCCTGGTGCCCAAGCCCTCTCCCGTCCCTAGGAGAACCGCCGACGGGCCAAAGAAGAAGCGTCCGCCATGGAGGAGGAGATGGCGCTGGCCGAGGAGCAGCTGCGCGCCCGGCGGCAGGAGCAGGAGAAGCGCAGCCCCCTGGGCAGCGTCAGGTGGGTGGTGGCACCTCGGGGACCTTTTGCAGGACTGGTGTGCACTCCCCTTCCACTCCCCCGCCCCCCAAAGCACAGGGGAGGGCAGAAATGTTGCGTGTTCATGTGGGACCTGGACGTCCCCTTGGCCCATGGGCGCGGGCCCAGTCCCCGCCCCGCAGTCCTCTCTACACAGTGACCCATCTGAGGATCATGTGACTTAATACATCCAGACTGACCCCCAGAACTCAGGAGGGTGCAGTGCTCAAGGGGACACTTTCCTTCTGGCATCAAGTACAAATTGGAAGCGGCCCGGGGTGGGGGCCCAGCAAGGGTTGGTGTCCGCTGAGCTGCGTTACCCTCCTGGTACCCGTTGTATGGTGGGGTGCAGGGGGCATTGCGCCCTGAGGCAGTGCATCTGAGCCCAGTGTTTGTCTCCTGGGTTCTTTCTCTGCTCCCCTGAGGGTCAGGCTGGGTGGACACTGACCGACTGCAGGATTGACTCTCACGGTCATCTGAGTGGGCTCGAGGCCCAGTGTGGGAACCGATGTGGTCCCCTGAGGGCAGGGCTTGGCCTGGCCTTAGAGAGGCCCCCTCCTGGGGTGCCGCTGGGCGTGCATGGGAGTGACCTCTCTCTCTCTGTCTCCAGGTCTACCAAGATCTACACGCCAGGGCGGAAGGAGCAGGGGGAGCCCATGACCCCCCGCCGCACACCTGCCCGCTTTGGGCTCTGAGCTGAGGCCAGCCCTGCAGAGGAGGGGCCCCCGGCGACAGTACCCTAGGCAACCACCGAACTTTCCGCCCCAGCCTCCGGGGGCCCTGAGGCCAGGCTTCTCGGTGCAGGCACCCTGAAGGAGCAGGCTCTGCGCGCCCACAGCTGCCTGCGCTCCCAGAGGCGCTGAGCTGGTGGGCAGCTGACCTGGTGTATCCGGCACTGGGCCAGGACGCTTTTTAGAAAAAAAAAAAAATTCTCGTGTAAAGCAGCAACATAGCTCTAGAGGGAATTTTAATTTGATTATAATTCAGGGTTTGGAAATAAATTTATTGTTTGTAAAATGTCGTGGTATTACTGACTGGTCACTGCCCAGAGCCACGCGGGAGACATGGGGGCTTCCACCTTCCGAGCCCAGCTCAGCCGGAGACTGTGCCCACTGGGCACATGCCAGCATGCCAGAATGTGCCCCTCTCCCAGCCTGACGATTCTGATGCATCTCAAGCTTCCCATTACCATCAAGCCGGCTGACTTTCCTGGGATGGAATGTCCTAGAAGCTTCACCGCCCTGATTTCTGTCTCTGGGCGGTGCCTCTAAGAGACGTGGGTGGGGTTGGGGCAGGGAGTATTGAATTGGGTGGGGGGGGGGGGGGTGTGTGGTGGGAGCTGGCCTGGTGCTGAGGCTGCCCTGCAGCAGGTTCCACTGTGCTGAACATGGATGGGAGAGTCCAGCCCTCCTTGATTTTCTCGTAAGGCAACTGAGGCCCAAGCCCCGATGCTTATGACGTTGCAGCGGAAGCCCACTGTGGAGGGGGGTGTTCGGGGGCTTTTTCCACCATGGCACTCACCTTGAGATTCCTTGGGTTTGGGTTTCTGCCAGGGCGCTGCTGGAGTGAGTCACCAGCAAGCTGGGCTTCCCAGCACCCAGGGAAAGCCCCTGTGCCCAGTGGCATTGGGACCATTTCCTTTTCCTGCTTCCCCGGTGACTCTCCTCTGGGAGACTCTGCTAGACGTGAGGACTGGGGCAGTGTCATGCAAGACAAAAGCAGGGGCTGCTGCCAGCGTTGACCAGAGCCCTGACATCTGCTCTTTACCTCTGACCCCATGTTGAGGGAACGGCTGTGGGTGAGTCTGTGGGGGAGAGAGGGCCTCCACGGCATGTGGGGAATTCTCCAGCCCTGAGCCAAGGTGGGCTGTGCCTGCCTGTGTTGTGGTGAGAAATCAGCTGGGGATGGGACTAGGAGAAACCAAAGAGAAAATGGACCAGAGATGCTCCCCTACTCTCCAGCTATGACCTTGCTCGCAAACTCACCTTCAAGTCCCTTCAATAACAAGGCCAGAGGTTATGGAAAGCTTTTGTCCACCCCGAGTTCTGGGTGCTACAGCAAAGAGCCCCCGGGGAGGGACCCTGGCACCCAACATGTTGCCGCATCTGCCTCGGGTGTGGGGACATCCTGCCCGGGTCGCTAATGCTTCTTAGTTGTGACATTTTTTCATTCCGACCCACCTTCGAGTTCCTTTCTGCTTGAGACCTTGGAGTCTCACCCCAAAGTCTGTAGCTGATGTCCAGGGTCGCTCCTGGGGTTCCACATTCAGTGGGCTTGGACAGTGGTGTGATGCCCCCATTCTAGTGAAAACCACGCCGCTCACTGGCTCTCGGCGTGGGTGACCCCACACGCACCTCTGCTATTTCTGTCCCTCAGAGCCTTGCTTTGGTGTCTTACTCCACAGGATGGGAAAGATAACTTTGAAAACTGTCCCTGTCACTGTCCTCCCATTGTTCTTTGATTTGCTTGAGTGGGTCCAGTAAGCCTGGCAAGCTACCGAGAGTATCTCACCCGCACGGCAAAGCCTGGCAAGCTACCCGTGTCATATTTGATATGCCAAACACAGTAACAACAAGTTTCACAATGGAGAACTTTGAAAACACGGAGCACTATTTTCAAGGTACTCAGTTATCAACACTGGACAATAGACAGGTGATCTTTTGGCGAATGACAGAGACAAAAATGACAATTTTTGCTCAACTGTAAGACAATAAGAAAAAACTTTGAAAGGGACCACGGCTAGAATGAGAAAGCCACTTCAGAAGGACCAAGATTTTCCATTTTAAGTTTTTTTTTTTTTTTTGGAAAATATGTCCTATTTTTAAGCCAAATGGGAAAACAGATGAACATCATCAGAACAGAAGTCCCCAGAACCTCAGCGTGCCTACCTCTGGCTTCCCTTCTAGAATGTTCCATTCCAGACTGAACCATGAGTGGGGGCTGAGATCTGGGGAGGAGGATGGGAGGGGGTTTCTTCACTTTTCCTGCTCCCCCACCATGAAGGATGTGAGCGTTTTATTTTTCTTTCTTCCTTTACCTTTGTAGCTATTATCTCTCAATTTCCTAGAGACCAGAAATATAAATTCGGGACATGTTGTGAGTATAACAAAATCCTACCCCAATAAAATAGTTTAGCTGTCCTTGGAGTTTGTCATAATGAAATTTTACTTGTATTGAGCTGGCTAGGGAGAAAAATAAAAAAATAAAATTGTTAAAGGGAGGGATTGGAGTCAGGCAGCCAGGGAGGAAAGAGAAGGTTTGCGCTCACTCCTGCTTTCAGAAACCGTCTACCCATTCTCTTCCTCTCTGGAGCCTGAGGGTTACTTTCCTTTTGGTGATCTTTGGGTATTATTATTATTATTCTCCTTAAACTCTAGACACAGATGGAAGGACCCCAAGAAGAGCTAATTATGTCTTGCTGGCTTAAGAACTAATCCAAGATAATCCAGAAACTTCCTTGGGGATTGCACTCACTGCGTGAGTGAGGCCTATGGCATGTAAGATCCAAAGGAAATTAGGGCCCAACACGCTTCTGGGGCCCAGGAGGCCGGAGACGCCGCCAGGTGTCAAGACTCCGGAGCTTGCTGGGCTCGTGTCTTTATTTCAGAATTTGGGCCTGGAGATGGTAGATGCTTCCAAGTTTCACTCCATTGCAGGAAGTGTCCAAAACTCAACAAATGTTAGCCGCTTGAAAAAAAATAGGATGGGAACTTGATTTCAGCCTGGCAGAGGTGATCCCGGTGGAGAGAGAGGGCTGGGAACGCGTGGGCCTCTCCAAAGCGTGCGTGGACATGAGGCTCAGGGTGAGGCGCAGGTTCTAGAACAGGGAGCCTGAGGGAAGAAGGAGAGGATGACAGTCTCGATCTGAGAAGTCAGTGAGGGACGCTACGGGGACCAGCCTCAGGCCAGGCAGCTGTGACGTGGGGATGGGGGATGGGGTGGAGGGGAATAACTGTGTCCCTCCAGGAGAACCCAGAGCCGGCACGTGGCAGCTATGGACTCGGCTGTCTGTGGTGGTCCCAGGGCATCTCACAGGAGAGACCCCCCTATTCTGCAGCTCCCCCTCGGCCCCACACTTCGCAGAGGAGACAGGGCCGAAGGGAAGGGCTGGGTCTGAGACGGGGAACCTGGGTCTTAGCAAAGGTTTATTTTTTTGTAGGGTGGGGGAGGCACACCCAGTGATGCTCAGGGCTGACTCCTGGCCCTGTGCTCAGGGATCACTCCTGGCAGGCTCAGGGACCCATATGGAATGCCAGGCTTGAACCTGGTTTGGCCACATGTAATGCGAACAGCCTACCCACTGCACTATCGTTCCGGCCCCTCAACCAAGATTTATTTTTTCTTTTTGGGTCACACCTAGTGATGCACAGGGGTTACTTCTGGCTAATGCACTCAGGAATTACTCTTGGTGGTGCTTGGGGGGCCATATGGGATGCTGGGAATCGAACCTGGGTCAGCCGCATGCAAGGCAAACGCCCTACCTGCTGTGCTATCGCTCCAGCCCTTCAGCCAAGATTCTTAGGCTCAAAGGAGCTTCCCTGGGGGCTAATGTTCCTCTCCAGGTGAGGAACGGCCAATTCCAGCCCCATTTCTCTTCCCCCAAGCCCTCATCCCCATGACAGCTTGAGAAAGACCCTTGCCCTGCTGTTGGCTCATCCGGGGGGACGAAGGCCAGCACCCCGGCACATGGCGGAAGATGAGAGACTGGACATACCTGAGCAGTGGGACATCCCCCAAAATCTGCCCACCTCCACTCTTTGGTTCACCTCGGGGGACGCCCCCCGGCAGTTGAAGTTGGCGTGCACTCGCTCCCTCTGGAAGTGCTCCACTTTGCTCATAGTCGGGGCCTTGGCACAGCCTTGGTACGCCATGGCCCGCAGCCGCCGCTCCTCGATCTCGCTCTTCAGCTTCTTGTTCTCCTGCTGCAGGTGGACCATCACATTGTGGAGGTGACTGGGGAGAGGTGGGCATGTGCTGTCATGGTGGCACCAGTGTCCCGAAAGCCCAGGAAAAGGCACATGTGTGCCTGGGGAAAGCCCCGGGCTTGGGTGAACCTGGCACTGGACCTTGAGGTCAGCCCTGGGACCATTTCTGTTTCCTCAGCTCTTTGCGGGGGCCATTGAGTCTGACCTGGGGTGCCCTGAAACGTGCCCTGGGACCCTTGATTTATTTCTGGGCCACACCCAGCGATGCTCAGGGCTTACTTCTGGCTTTGCACTCAGGGAGAGCCGGGGACTGAACACAGACGCCTGCGAGGGAAGCATCCTCTCCGCTATACTGTCTTTCCAGTCCCCTCCCCACTTGGACCCTTGAGAGGGACTTGACGGCCAGAGCAGGCACCCCCACGCTGGCTGGTGTCCCCCATGCTATAGCCTGAGTTGTTCAGGCCCCCTTTACTGCCAGGTTGAGCACATCACGGGGGAGGGAAGGTCCTTCCTCTGCTGAACGCTTGGGCAGATTCCCGGTGGTCCTTTTTTATCAATGAGGAGGATGGTACCAAGGAGGCAGAGGAGGCAAGAGGGGATGGAGCTCATTTCCGGGGGCCTCAGAAAATGAGGCAGGTGTCCCTGTCAGCGGCTGTAGTTCTCCGAGCCAGTACCGAGAACAGCAGAGACAGCGGGGACAGCGGGGGCCCCCAGACCTCACTTTCTGGAGTGGGGATTTTGGGTGGTGCCCCCAGGGAAATGAGAGACCCTCTCTGCACCAGTTCACGGGGTCTTCGGAAGATGGTAAATACTCAAAAAGCAC